GACGCCGTCGGTGTAGAGAACGTATTTATAGCGGCAGAAGTCCTCGATCATAAGGGTTGTAGTATTCCCGTTCTCATTCCCGTTTCCGTTCGGATCTAGGCTTGCCGCTTGTCCATTTTGTACTTCTCTCTCAGGTCCCTCTGCGGTCTCCAGCCCTTTCTCATTGTGTCTTTCCGCCCCCTTCTCTTTTCTCATCCCCTCCGCTTGCCTAAACCACTCCTCACTCTCCCCCTCCCCTTCGTCGTGCCTGTTACCTTTTGCGTCCATCTCATAGCTCTCTATAGCCTGCACATCCGCCCACTTAGCCCCCGCAGTCTCGCGCAGGAGATCCTGACGCAGCGTCGGGTAGTGCACGCCGTTGAAGCGCGGCGAGCCACGCCACACGACGCGCGGGTCCTTCCGCGCAAACGGCAAGGCCTCTTCAATACCCGCTATCGCCCCCGCCGCGCGCGCTATCGACCCGATGAAGGGCAGCGGCCAGCTCCAGAACGAGAAGTGCGGCATCAGGAAGGTTCGCGTTATGGGTGGCATGGCCGAGGCCGGCGCCGCGAACGCCGGGCGAGAGTACGACCAGGCGGCGCCGTAGGGCTGGTCCCGGATGTTGAGGGAGAAGATTGTGTTGGGGAGGCGTGTGGGCGAGGTTATGAGGGCGCGGTGGATCTGGTGGAGGGCGGCTTGTCGGGCCTGGGGCTGGGTTACTATATACTACGCTCGGAGGGGGGGGGGGATGCTATTGCTCCTAACCTGGAGGAGCTCGGGAGAGAGCGTGTTTTTGTCCTCGGCGTGGATGATGTAGAGCTGTTCATAGCCATAGCATGGTTATTACCAAAGTAGGTATCGTACGAGGATTTGAGAAACGTTAAATGTCCTCACCTGCCCATCCTTAACTCGCGCTTGAAGCGGCCCTTTGCCGTGCGTTTGCTTCAGCGTGAAGGGACCGAGAGCTACTGTGGCATCGAGATCCTTAGTCAAGTCTGGGAACGTGGTCTTGCATTCTTGCTCGCTGAGGTTTAGGAGTCGATACACATCTGAAGAAGGCAAGCTGGCTGTGGGTATGAACGGTTCCGAATCGCGTTGTGGTGAGCTTTGTGCCCACTGGAAACGCGCGACGAGGCCGAGGTATAGTAAGATGCATAATGCTAGCAATATCCAAAGCCTTCCCACACGCGCCGGTTGATTCCGGGGCATCATTATGAGTACGTGCGAAATCGCACGTAAATCATCTGTGAATATGCATTCAAGATTACGCGCTCGTCATCCGATCGACTGTAAAGACTGCATGGTTCGGGGCACGTAGACTAGACACTCGCTGCGGGAGACAGCCAGAGATACGCGACACGCAGGGTCCATTGGTAGATCATTTCGCGAGATATCTGGCGATTACAGGTTCCCCCTGAGTTAGCTCTGTACAATCAAGCAATGATTAGAACAGGGAGGCTATCGGTCTAGGTGCGCGGCGGATGATCTGGCAAAATCCGGCAAAATCCCAATTCTTCTAGATCTCCCCCTTACGTCACGCCATTCTCACGCCGAGCATGATAAGCGAGGAGGGCAGGTGTTAAAACACTTCAATACGGTAGACAAGACCATGAAAACAATTATCAACCGTAGCCGTACCATGTTGCCACCCATACGTCCAAAGTGATGGAGTTCGCTAAATTAGGGGCAGTTCAGAATAAACGGTTGAAAACAACGGGCTCAGGAGCTCAAGGAGTAATCGAATTTTGGCTTAGAAAATTCCGAGGTACATAGATTAAAATTGAGGCTCTCGTATCTCTCAAAAATCGTTAACTGTACTCTAATATTGAAATAACAGTTATGAGTATGTACAAAACCAAGATTGATGAGTGAGAGGCGGCTTAGCGTTCATCACCAGGATCTGCCTAGAGGCCTAATACGAATGTTATACAAATTTACAGAATTGTCCACTCTGTTCACCTAATGCCCCCTTTTTTTATACATGCGTTAGGAAAGTTCGTACATCCGGCGTTCCATATCGACGCCGCTCATGTTACCTTCGTCAGAGATACGTAGCACTGATAGGGGTTTTTCGTGATCCTATCGTACGAATCCTGAGAACTTAATCCCTCGGAGAGCTTATGAAACTCAAAATTCCAGACCAGCAACGCCAATACAATGCGAGTCTCGAGGTATGCCAGCCGCCGACCAAAGCATGCGCGCGGCCCCTGACTAAAAGCCAACATTGGCCCGCTCTGGGCATCAAATACCGTATTTCCATTCTCGTCGGTCTTCAGCCAGCGCTCAGGCTTATACAGATGCATATCGCTAGGATCCCAGCTCCCACAAAGTCGCTTCTCGCGAGAGGACGGACTTCGGATACTCTCCGGGATGGGGATAGGGGGCAACCGGTAGTCAGGACCATCCGAGAGCACGAATACAGCGGTCCCTTTGGGGATCTTGTGGCCTAGGAGTTCTGTGTCGACGGCAGCTTGGCGCACTGTTAATGGGATAGGTCCGTCGTAACGTAGGGATTCCTCAAGGACAGCGTCGAGGTATGGGACCTGTGTCTTCCATATTTCGACAGCGGTTGGTTGCCGTCCCTCCACGTGCGCAGCTGGGTAGGCTGCGCGAAGAGCTGACCGTAATTTGGCCTGTGCCTCAGGGTAGTCTGCGATGTGCTTAACCATCCCTAGTAGAACAGATGCGATTAGTCTAGAATTCTCTAACCGACCGTTTCAGAGCTTAGAGGAAGCGAGGCAGTAGGCACCTCCCAACAATCTGGGTTCACTTACAGGCAATCGCAGTAGAGCTCGTGTCATGTCCACCGACGATATATCCAAAGAGCTAGGAACAGTCAGCAATCGTTACCTCCTCTCATAGGGGCGAGACTTGCCTCATCATGAATCCGTGGCGAATGGAAAACCGGCTCCCGCCCTGCCTTATCCGCAGAATGCATTTCTCGCTGCAGAATGTGGTCCATAGCCGATCGCGTCCCGCTCTCGCCCTTGCGAAGGCGGACAACGGCCTTATCGATCTCGTTACGGAGAAACTTGTCCTTTCGAGCGATGCTTTGCGCCAACGTCCGGTTCGTTAGCATTGCAAAGTGATGAGCTAGTCTAGGGAATGGAGCTTTTAACTGCTCTCCTTGGTGAATACCGATTGCCTCGATTGCCGCAATGTCGGGAAGGGGGGGAAGCTCTGGGAATGTAACGCTCCCGTCGGCTTCGGGCGTAGGCCGCAAGTCTGGCTTAGAAAGAAGGAAGTCCAATTGGTTCTTCACTGTGCTCTGGTCGTCTTCTAACCCGAAGGCAGCGGCATTTATAATATCTATCGCCGCGTCGAATATATCCCTACGCGCATTGAACGGGCGGCTTCCCCCAAGCTCGGCCTTGAGAGTCCAGAGGTCGATGAGGGCCATAGTCTTGTCATATATCTGTGGCGCAGAAACCTGAGAGGTCGTTAGTAGGCTTATCATGGTTAATCACTAGGATTCCTTACCTCGTGTAGGAAATTTGGTGTCATCAGATCTCGTACAAGCTCCTTGTTTCCTTTGAAACGGGGATCTGCTGAAGACATGGCTATGTGATGGTTCGGGGCAACCCCGGCGAAGACATCCGTGGTCATTGATCCCCGATCAAACTCACGGGTCCGTCTCAGCAAAAGATCTTGAGATTCTCGGAAGTCGGCAAGGATTAAACTAGGCTTTTGGAATGGCGTCAGCCAAATTTGAGTGATTGCAGACTGATGGCGTATCGGATGCTGTATAAAAAACGGTCGCGTTTTCCCTGTGGTACGTAACATAGAGACCATCTCAGGTAGATTTCCGAGGAGGCTATTTTTGGCACTCTCATCGTAGGGAATGCCCGGTATGGGCTTCGGCAAAGCCCACCGGTAGGCAATATACAGCACCGCCGAGAGGGCGACGATCAAGAGGAGAGGATTCGTCATATTTAAACCGACCGGAATATGGAAAGGCGCCATGTCGACGGTCGATATAGCATCAGAGGTTGAGGTGTACAGAAGCCGTTCGATAATGGCTGGTTCCAACAAGATAGCCAAACCAGATACCCGGACGAACCAACTTAATAGTTAAATACGATTAGATATTTGGAGTCAGCAATGCCGTGACTCCCATAGGCCGTGGACATCTTGGAGCCAACGCACTACCAGACTGGCGTATAAGTGAAACCGTCATTGAATGGGGTTCCTTCGGGTTGGACCCGCGGTTTTTCGGGTGGCACCCGCGGGACCCGAGCTAGAATCTATCTAGATAGGCCGGTTGGGATAACTAAAGGTCCGAGGCTCCGGCTGATCCCTCCCTGTCTATATATATGGGAATATGGGGTACCTAGCGCATACGATAAATACAATAAATACAATCAATGGTGAGGGTTCTCGAACTCGCACAGAATACGTACCAAGGCAAGAGTTAGTTAGGTATCATCTTAGATACACATCTACGCCGGTGGTATTATTCATTCCGCCCACACTATTATAGCTTGAAAGAAAACGGCGCCCGTGAGAGAGGCTACCCAAGGTATTTTGTAGCCACCTATCAAGGTCACTCATCATCAGCTAGGTGGAGAACGGTGACGAGACTAGTGAGTTGCGGTACAATTCATGACCCGGGATAGACGCGCAATAACTACGGAATGTCTCCGGCTGTTAGCAATACGCCGAATACTTTCATTATCTCGCCGATGTTGCGACCTCGTGCCCGCAACGCACCCAAGTTAAAGTGTGTTTACTTTTTTTGTGTTAAAAAAAGAAGAAAAGGGAAAAGGAGAGAGAGGTCTTGGCGGGCAACACGAGAGACCATCCATCATCATTCATTGCATATGAAACATGTGCCAAGACAATTGAAAAGCAATTACCTCCTCGATCTTATACAGCATATCGTGCGTGATAATAGAGGGAGATAGAAAAGACATGATGGCCCTCGATTCACTTAGACGAAGAGACCGAATAAAGTAGCATAAGAACAATAAAATAAAAGAGTGAGTAAGTAACCCCTACTTTGTCTTAAAAAGCAAAAAAGACTCCGAATCGGGGAATCGAACCCCGGGCTTGACGGTACTGTTCTGCATCAGCAAGATGAAGTTGAGAGCGTCAAATGTTAGCCACTACACCAATTCGGATTAATTCAGACATCGCTTAATTGCCTACATATCATTACTAAGTCCAAGTGTCCTAGAGATTGTTTAGTTATTGATTCATCTCCCTCTATTATCTAGATAGATGGAGTCTCTCAATACAAATACCTACCTATCACAACAAGAAGGACGTAGAGCCACACACACACACACACATTGAACCCGATGAGCCTATCAACGCACATCAAACAGTTGCATCCACGGAACATAAAATGTGTGCATGCATAACCCATGACCGAACAACACCCATCAACTCTACCTACTTAAACAGGCAACAAGCTATTTACTAGCCCAGCATATCCCGTCACCATTTTACAATGCTGACGTCTATCGGCCCCCGTTGTGTGGACTGACAACGGGTATAACCTAAGAGCAGTAGATCTAGACCACCAAATCGACTGTGCTACCTTATCGCTACCGCGGAACCCGCGGGATGACACTAGATAGATTTCGCGGGATGAGATCTGTATCATTACTCATAGGCGGGGTTTAAATTTGAAGAGAATCTAAGAATATCTCTAATACCACTCTACCACCTACTTACTTCATCATGCATACCAGATTTTTCGATTTACACATAAAACATTTATATAAGGCCAAGTACAGTAGCATAATGGTGGGGATAGGAGCACTGAAGCGTAGTAGGTAATGTAATTATTTAACCTCATAAGTTAGTGTGCAAGGGTAACACCGCCTTCGTGTGGCAATCATATCATGTATTCCCAGTACGCGAAAAGAGAATAAATAAGATGATGTGTTGTATGTTCGAAATGCTCTATACAATCGGTTTACAATGGGTAATATATGGTATAAGCATCACATGGAAGAATCACGGCTGAAACCAAAGTGCGTGCCGAAGACCTTATTGGATTACGATGCGAGGGCGAATTGGGTATCCTGGTAATATTCGTACGGAACATCATAAACAAGGACACCCAGGACTTAAAACAGACGAGGGAAGAATGAAGAGAAATTAGGAAATTGAGACGTAGAAAGGATAGGGTATAGAAAAGAGAAAAGAGAGGGATAAGGAGAAAAGAAAGAAGACAGGGCAGAACTGAACAAGCTAGAATATTCAACCCTTATCTTAGACGCCACGCGTCAAGACTACTTCATACCTAACATCTCACTGCATCGCGAGCTCACCGCCGGAGATATTGGCCGCAGCGGACGCGCAGGCTCACACTCCACAGCACAGCTTACAACAGCACCCAAGGAGGCAGTTCGCGACTCTCGTACTCGCCTCCTTGACGCCCTCCTTAACACGATCTCTCTTACGGGCAGGGGGAGGGTCATCAACGACTTGTAGAGTCTGAATATTGCCATCACCATCCCGGTAAACATGAGTTGTGATATTGGGGCCCTGGATGAGGTTTCTTGGGACTGATTCGGGAGATCCACTAGCCAGCAGGGTCGGCGAGACCCGCGTGATCACATGCTTTGCAGGATTTCCACCGCTAGAGGCTGTCGTGGTGGTAGTGTTGGCCAGAGCAATAGCGTCCTCTCCGCTATGACTTATCTAGGTTAGAGCTTGGTAGTTATAGCATAAGGGGCGATAGATATCGTCTCGAGAACTTACCTTGGCCCTCCAGCGGATGTACCACCTCCAGTGGTATTAGAAGAGCTCATGATGAGCGAATAAACGACGAGCGGGGTTACCTCCTATAGAGACTTTGAATTGGAGTGAGAGCTCGTAATAAGCAATATCCAGAGAGCAAATACGTATTCCCGGAGGCGGAGATCGTTGTTCACGAGGATGAATGCTGCCTTGATTTGTAGTTGAATACAAGAGGGCGGACCTCGCAGCCTTATTTATGTCCTGCAACTTTTTGCTGCAGTCTGTTGCTTAGAACTCACATGGCGACACAAGCCTTGGTCATGAGATTCATCAAGTGATGCGTTATCCTAGTAGAGTAAATTTTGAAAAAAAGAAAAAAGGGAAATACACGAGAGTAGCGCCATATATGGAGGAAGTTTTCAAGTTATCGGTCATGTAAGGAGATGTTGTCCAGACGTTAGCTAGACGAGTAGCATGAGCCGGTGAGTTTCTCTCCTACCAAAGAAATTATCTAGGCCCAGACCTTTAATGTAAACCGAAAGTAAAGCAAAGGACACGAAAGAGAGGACTAGTTTTCGATTGGAAGCTATTAAGCAGCTAAATAGTGTTAGCTATCATTTCATAGGGTGCATACTATCCCCCGAGGGATCACCAAATGTTATATCACCGAGTAAATAAGCCATCGAGCCGCCTATGTACGACGAAAATGAGGCGTAAATAATAGAAAGCGCCAATATCGGCAATTAGAAATATAGTATAGAGGTAGACACAGTAACATAAAAATGCCATGATAGGAGGGCGTTCAGTACCACAACAGAAATAGGGAGGTGCCGTGAACGTCGCCATACAAGATGAGGCAGGGATACCGGGGACAGGTAAAAGGAACGCCTATGGATGCTATGCCATGGTGAGCAAGACCGAATATTACAGAACCTAGTGACCATATCCCTGTCCTCCCACATGGGAAATACCGACACGTACCGAAATTTCTTATTCGCGGCAATCAACCAGGAGCCAATATTAGAAATCTCTCACTTCTTATTCGACACGACGAATACTTGTGAGAATAGAAAATAGAAGGGAGATAGCCGGTTAGGTAGGGATGAGCGTTGACTTCAGCCTTGCTAAGTACGCCATCTGGCTCCCTCTCAGCAATCCCAGAAGCAGTCACTTTTTTTTTTTTGGAGTGGTAGACACGTAGGTCCCGGTAGAGGGTAGCGGCAGGAAAGAGGAGAGACGCAGTCCAAGGAATTTGACTTATTTGATTGTTGCTGCGGTGTACCCGGGAGCAATATATGCGGTATCATAATAGGCGTGCCGTTTGTTGTCCGTTACGTCGAGGGTCCGGGGTGAGGTGAGCAGGCTGGCTAGCTATGCACAGGGGAACCAATGTAGAACAATATTCTGATAGATCGTTGCTCCCCGCGCCCGAAGTAGCCTTTCATGATGAGAAGGACATAGACATACAAGAATCTGAGGGGACAGGGTATTGAAGCGACTGGTTCCCAGAGTCGTTTTGCTTTCACGCACTTTATATATCTACTACACAAAACCATAACATCATTTACGAGTCGCTTTCTGTACTTTCCCACGTCTCTGTCTCAAGGAATGTCATATTCGAACGTTGCCTACCGTATCAACTATGGCCACACGAACCATACCAGTTTCAAGTGTAAAGCTACAATAGGGTGCGGAAGCTTAGGGCTGACTGGCGTAAGCTTCCGGCTTCGCAGGCTAATGCAAGGCACAAGACTCTCTGTCAATATTTGCCGTCCAAGCTTACGCCTATTCCCGTATACCATATACCTATTCAGGGATCGATGCAAGGGATGTACGTTATTTATTCTATATAAAAGTCAGCATGTATTCCAATTCGCTAGTACAAATCGACAGGAGCCTATTATCAACCGAGCTCCCCATGCCGCTTTACGTGTGCCCAGTCCAGTCATGTTTAAGCTCTTCGTCCGAAGAACCGTAGCTTACCAACCTAGCCACACCCTCGGGACAGTGAAACCACGCCTCGAAAAACACCAGCCTTTGGAGTAGAATTCAACGGGTGTATGATAAATAAAACCAAAAATAATATTGGAAACACGCTTCCGCCAATGCCTTATCCGCAGCACTGTTTATTCATTACAGACCCTACATCCCTTCATTTCGTTGACCGGTCGTAACATGCTGCTTCTTCGTTCTAGTTGTCATCAAGTCGTCTTACCCAGTCCCCATACCCATCCACCAAAGTACACATTATCGAATCACAGTTTGCGTAACACCGCCACCGCCGACACCGCCTGGCCTTGCTACCGTATTACGGGCAATGAAGTCGCGGTTCTCGATCGTTACGCTCTTGGTCATATGATTGACCTTATACACGCCTACTAGGCGAGCAGCGAGTTCAAACATGTTATTTCGTAGAGAGATGACGATGAACTGTGCATTCTTCGTACGCTCCTTGATATAGTTGGCTACAATCGACACCTAGACATTGTGTTGTTAGCTAAATCCTTTAAACCAGAAAATAGGGATTACTACTCACGTTCCGGAAGTCCAGGGCAGCGTCGATCTCATCCATAACATATAATGGAGTAGGTTTATAGTGATGCAGGGCAAATACAAGTGCCAAACTGGATAAAGTTTTCTCGCCACCACTGAGGTTGCTGATGTTCTTCCAGCTCTTCTTCGGCGGCATAACTGAGAACAAGATGCCTTCGCTGAAAGGATCAAGACTGTCGACAAGCTCTAGCTCTGCGTTACCGCCCATTGTGATCATCTGGTACATCTCTTTTAGACGAAGAGATATAGTGCTAAAACCTTCCATGAAGCCCTCCAAGCGAAGGCGGCGAAGGTCATCACATCGCTTTTTGGCTGCGTCACGCTGCTGCACAGCGCTAGCGAGGTCAGAGGAACGAGCGCTATGCTCTTCAACGCGACGGCGATATTCTGCCAGGACACTGACATCGACATTGACGTTTTGAGTCTTCTCTTCGAGAGCGGCGATCTCGGCTTTCAATGCCTCTTTGCTCATATCCTTTAATTCATCCTGGGTGAAACGTGGAAGCTCTTCGGGCTGCTCTGTGGGTGCTTGCTCTTGTGCCTCTTCCTGCTCCTCGCCGCCTGCGTCCGTATCTGCCTCTGGGTCTGCGTCTGTTGATTCCTGTGCGTTATTCTCTGCCGGCTTCTTTGCCGGTACTGCGCCCATTAGATCGCTGACGTTCTGTAAGACTAGCTTGCCTAGCTTCTCATTCCAATAACGTAAGCGCTTCTGGTTTTCGACAAGAGCCTTTTGGTTTTCTTCGAGCTGATTGCGCATCTCAATTTCGGATGCGCGAGTTTCGTTAAGTTCGGACGTCTTTTCGTCTAACTCTGCCTTCATAGAGGCTAGCTCTTGTTTTTTCTCCCTCAGCGCCTCCTCGGCAGCTTCGACTTG